TAGTAATAGTTGTATGTAAATTCATCCTGAGTCAATTAAAAGAAGGTTTTTTTAATGCATGCAATTAAATGCACCTTTTAGCTCTAAATTTGTATTGAGAAATAAACATTGATTTTTAACTTATCAAGTATCTAATTAAATTTAGGTTAAATGTCAATTTTGATCCCTCAATTTTGACATTTTGCACAATTTTTGTCCTTTAATTTTTTTATGCTTTTTTTAGTTCCTCAACTATGAAAAATGTACTTTTTTAGTTCTTCTGTTCAAATATATACATTTTTAATCTACAAACTTTTAAGTTGAGGAACAAAAAATATGCACATTTGAATAAATTTAACGAACTAATTGACGGAAAGACTAAAAAATTGTATTTTTCATAGTTGAAGGATTAAAAAATGCATAAAATATTTGAGAGATAAAAATTGTACAAATAAAATTAACATTTAACTTTAAATTTATCCAAGTGAGAATGGTAATAAAATTAATATAAATTTTGTATTTTCTTTTCATACAATCCCAAGCGTATACAATATAGATGAAAAAAAGAATTAAAAAGCAAACCAATGGTTCCAATAAAAGAGATTCTAATTGTATTCCCCCATTCAAACCATTCACACACACATTATAGAAAAGGAAAAGCAAATGATGGAAAAGGAAAAAAGGGAAAAGGAAAGTGTTTCAATTTTTTTTGTTTTTGAAGTTCTGTGAGTGATAAATGGATTGGTCATTCTTACGATATATCTTACAAAATTTTCTACTTTCCACACGTTAATAGTCATTAACATGTGGAAAGTTTTTTTGAAGTTCTTCGGGTGATAAATGATGCATCTTACAAAATTTTCTACTTTCCACATGTTAATAGTCATTAACGTGTGGAAGGTTTTTTTGAAATTCTTTGGGTGATGAATGGATTGGCCATTCTTATGATGCATCTTACAAAATTCTCTACTTTCCACACGTTAATAGTCATTAACGTGTGGAAAGTTTTTTTTGAAGTTCTTTGGGTGATGATGATGCATCTTACATAATTTTCTACTTTCCACATGTTAATAGTCATTAACGTGTGGAAAGTTTTTTTGAAAATTTTTGGGTGATGAATGGATTGGCTATTCTTATGATGCATCTTACAAATTTTCTACTTTTCACATGTTAATAGTCATTAACGTGTGGAAAGTTTTTTTGAAGTTCTTTGGGTGATAAATGATGCATCTTACAAAATTTTCTACTTTTCACATGTTAATAGTCATTAATGTGTGGAAAGTTTTTTTGAAATTCTTTGGGTGATGAATGGATTGGCCATTCTTATGATGTATCTTACAAAATTCTCTACTTTTCACACATTAATAGTCATTAACGTGTGGAAAGTTTTTTTTTAAGTTCTTTGGGTGATAATGATGCATCTTACAAAATTTTTTACTTTCCACATGTTAATAGTCATTAACGTGTGGAAGGAAAGTTTTTTTGAAATTTTTTGGGTGATGAATGAATTGGCTATTCTTATGACGCATCTTACGAAATTTTCTACTTTCCATATGTTAATAGTCATTAACGTGTGGAAAGTTTTTTTAAAATTCTTTAGGTGATGAATGGATTGGCTATTCTTATGATGCATCTTACAAAATTTTCTACTTTCCACACGTTAATAGTCATTAACGTGTGGAAAGTAAAACATTTACGACTTTGTGTTTAATTAATAGATTGATCATTTATAATTTTTTTGGTTTTTTAAAAATTAAACTTTAAGAAAAGCATTTACCTTTATCATCAAAACAATTAAACAACACGAAACAATATAAGTATTTGGTTGTTAAATTTTTTTTTTCATGAGAAAATTCCTTTATAGGAATTGGAAATTAAGTTTAAAGCTAGGAAGGCAAGAACAAATGTATATAAATATAAAGAATCTTCTAACTTTTGCCTTTATGGCACAAGTTAAATTTCATT